GTGTTCGATGCGGGATTTATCAAAACTCTCACTGACTAGCAAACGAACCTAGTGTTTCTCTAGTTGATATACTGCCCACTCAACGTGTGCCAGATAAGGTTTTGGAATGCCGAACTGGGTACTAGGGTGGACTGTACCATGGAGTCCAAGTACACGCACCTTAACCATGAAGAGAATGGAAGGTATTATCGAGTTGGAAAGCAGCAAGATGTTCGTAAAAGAATTTGACTGGCTAGATGCTACATATTTAGCTGGAAGGTTCACCGCAGCCAATATCGCAGACCAACTGCGGATACATATCCTATTTCAAACATATGCCGCATATGCCAAGGCACTGGTGCTGTTTGTGATCCTATGCTCTGAGCCCTCAACCTGAAGCTCAACACACAAGCGGCATAAGGAATCAAACAAAGAGTACATAAAAGCCAAATATACTGAAAAGATGTCTTATTTGTTCATCTGGTCGAATACAAAGATTCACACACTGACTAGGATAATACCTAACGAAAACACCACGGTTGGGGAGTCATCTTATGATTCCCTCGTCAGGGATATTCCAGCTTGTCGGATGTTATGGCTATGAGGCAAACTTTTCCCTAGTTTGGTGACGTCTTGCAGCTGCTCAATCCCATTATCGGCATTATTGTATAGATGAAGAAACATGAACTCTGCTCACTATACTATGAGTAGGCTGCAAACTCCTTCATCATTTTGCATGGATTTAGTCATACAGTTCACCCCATGGTGCTGATTATATTTGAAACCAGATTTGTTCCTGTATTCATAACCCTTCGCCGAGCTTCTCCTCCTGTTATTAGACCATTTATTTCTAAGCTGGCGTGGAGCGAGAAGGTGTTCATTGTGGATAGCTATGCGATGATGAACTAAATCAGAATCAGCCTTACGCCAATACTACTAGAAATAAATTTGCTAGTCCAATGCAGGACTCAGGCTTTGGAGCAGAACCTTATCCATATCAGAGTGTCTTTCCCCTAAGGTCCATCCTGTAGGTTGCCATATCTGGAGGTCAATAATAAACTTGCTTGTCAGAACTGAGTTGATGTTGTGATATCACATGCAGACGACTGTAGTTGGATAAGGCTCGCCGAATTGCTAGTGTCTGCTGTTACATGGAAAGCGGTTTTTTGAAGGTCGATTATGAAGAATTCAGTTGAGAAATCGATCACAAGTGATGCTTATGTATTGCTGATAAGTACCCAGTAGGACGGGAGCTACAGGGGAAATTGGATTTAACCTGCCATCGAAACCCTGGAGTACAATTTCTCAGGAGGCCTAGGTTGATGAAGTCCTCCAGGCTGCTAGAACGCAGCACTTGTTTCCAGCTAAAACCGATTATTTACACTAACTATCATGCATCATATTCCGCAGTCAATATCGCAGGGGGGAGTAGAGGTAGTTTCTCTTAACTCTGTGGCATTTGAAAAATACTTTCTTATGGTATACAGTCAAAGAAAATATATTCTCCAAACACATTCACTGAAGCCTGGTTTCAAGCCCTGGGGCCAGACTGAACTCTAAATGACTACGCAGGCGTCTATTCATTAGATAATTATATATGTACCGAGAGACTGATATAATCCCCGAAACCAAGAAATCAGAGAAGGATTTCAATTTATCTGAGAATAAGTCAATTATTACGAGTGACAACAAGAAGAAAAATCATGAAAAGAACATGTACACGATCTATGGTAAGCTAAAACAAAAATAAAAAGGCATCCAAAAAACAAATCCCTCAAGGGGATTCGTACCCGTGCTACTATGGAGCTGGGTGGGATACATAGTGCGAATGTGGACAACCACTCGACTATTGGGAGGCTAACATAAAAGTAAGAGTATGAAGAGTGTCTCTTGACTCGCAATCCCGCGGTTGTACAACATGACTTTTTAGCCCTAATTGCTGAAATCTACCATCGCGGCATCACGTCCACTCTTCATAAGTGGTCATGTCTCCATTCCGACCTAAACATCAGATTCGGGTCACTGAGGATCCCTCATACTGATGTAAGGTATCAGGTACCTCTGTGCACTGACAGGTGGGTCAATCAATAAGCTATGGATACCACATTGTTTGCCTGCTCCTGACATTCACGGAATACGATCAAGATCTCCGATACACAGCGGAGATAACCCCGGACATCGATCTAAAGCCGGGCTCAAGGCCCACGGTTTGTGGAGTCAAGTGCCGGCCTTCCGCAAACTGCATTTTGTGCTGTCACCACCCTTCAATCGCAGGTGCATTGAAGGTGCTACTGCGATAGATTGCGAAGGAAAGTAACTCATCATCAGCTCACTCGAAATCTTCAAATATGCCATATATTACACGATCTGGCTAACTACACTCATTGAATAGATTAGATACCCCAACTTTTGAGGCAGCCAAATCTGAGAAGGCATCCGTGGTTCATCTCGCCGCCCCACCGCACTAAACGCTCGCCACGCCCGTATATCCGAGCTGCTCACCAAAACTCTGAGAGTCTCGGATATACACAGCCAGAAAACTGCAAGGAATCGGATATAGCCCCCCGCAAGGACCCCAACTCTAATATGCCACAGCGGGTCCGGATAGAATACGCGGCAACGTCTCGACCTGCAGACTCCTCTCAATGGACGCTAACGGCGCGCTTCAATTCCGAAGGCGAACCAAACGCTGAAGAAGTGACAGGGGGTTGCTTCAACGGTTACTAATGTCGGTAGTGGAGTCTCTGTCTCCTTCAAATAGAAGAGGGGGTGACCTCCCCCAGAAAAAAGGAAACTTGAGTGATCCTGCAAGAAAACAAACAACCACCTTCCCCAGATATCAAAATGGTCACCACAACCGCAATTCCCCTCATCATCCACGGCAAAGACATCCTCCTCTCTAACAATGACCGCAAACACCCCATCACTTCTAAATCCGCACCACACCTAAAATCTTTCCAAGGCGCAACCTCTGATCTCGCCGTTCAAGCCGTTGAATCCTGCGCAAGTGCCTTCCCGACATGGTCGCAAACACCTCCCGAGGAACGTCGACGTCTGCTTCTCAATCTGGCCAGGGTAAGCCACTCAACACCCTACTTTTGTATTCAAGAAATAGTCCCGCCTAACAAGAGATAATTAAGCTCCTCCGCGAAAAATCCAGCACCATCCAAACTCTCATCAAAGATGAAATTCACTGCACACCACTCTGGTCCCAGCTCAACGTCGAAATAGCAGCTGGCATTGTCGAGGAGACCGCATCAGTAATAACAGACGCTATTAGCGGCACGATTCCTTCATCACAGGGAAATACGTATGCGCTTGTCATGAAGAAGCCGCTCGGTGTGGTGCTGGGAATCGCGCCGTGGAACGCGCCGGTGATTCTGGGATTGAGGTCAGTTATTCCGGTGGTTGCGGCGGGAAATACAGCGATTTTGAAGGTGAGTGTTGTCACTATATCTTAATCCACTGGGAGGGATAATTGGTCGCTGACAAGAGTAGGGTTCCGAATTGAGTCCCCAAACGCATTACTTTCTCGCTGCGCTCTTCAGAGAGGCAGGGTTCCCGCCCGGAGTGGTGAACTTTGTTCTGCATCGGCCGCAGGACGCAGCGGAGATCTACGAGTGTATGATTCAGCATCCGGCTGTGAAGAAGTGCAATTTCACAGGGTCGACGCAGGTGGGACGTGTCATTGCGTCCAAGGCGGCGATGGCGTTGAAGCCGGTGCTGTTGGAATTGGGCGGCAAGAATCCCGTCGTGGTATTGGATGATGCGGATCTGAATCAGGCGGCGGACGAAATCATTGCCGCGGGTTACTTGAACGTGAGTATCTGCTTCTATTTCGTGGACTTTTTTTGGAAGGCGATGTGTGCTAACGAGACTGAACATAGAATGGCCAGATTTGCATGTCGACTGATCTCGTCTACGTTGTTCAGTCCGTGGCGAAGGAGTTGACCAAGAAGATCCTAGAGCGCTTGCACAGCGAAGATCGGCCACACAAGGTTATCTCGGCGGCGGGCCGAGCTCGTCTTACGCAGTTGGTGGAGGATGCAAGGTCCAAGGGTGCTGTCATTCACCAGGCTCGCAACCCTCTCGCCGAGGATCCCCTGGCGTTCCCAGCTACGGTGATTGAAGGTGTCACGGAAGAGATGGAGTTCTATACGATCGAGTCGTTCGGTCCCGTATTTGGAATCATTGCTGTTCAATCAGCAGAACAGGGTCTGCAGATGCTTAAGCGGTCCGCGTACGGTCTGTCGTCGGCTGTGTTTACACGGGACCATTTCAAGGCCCTGGGGATGTCCGCCGATATTGCTGTGGGAGCGGTCCATGTCAATGGGGGCACGGTGCATGATGAACCGACGTTACCGCATGGAGGAGTGGGAGACAGTGGATATGGTCGATTTGGAGGGAAATGGGGCTTGAATGAGTTTTTGCAGACGCAGACTGTGATTTTGAATCGGGTTCGGGCTTCCTTGTAAATGCCGAAAGAGGGTTATCCGGTGGGTTTGCATGATAAACGTGCAGGCGTTATAAATAATAATATCTAGCAATTTGGCAGATAAAACACACTGTTACCACTTCAAGCTCTTCTTTACTAACTTTAATAACCACACAGTCCTCTTGATAGCCTATAAATTACATAGTATTCCCTCGGCTTCCTTGGCGAATTAATGTGAGACCTTTAATCACTTCCTGGTACTACCGTCCCAAATATAGCCAAGACTCCACTGCAACTTGCCTCGGCTCAAGCAGTATATATTTCTAGGAAGTATTACTACTGTCGGAAACATGAATCTTGACAACTGTCACGATGCAGTCCGCCGGTTACAGGTTCCAGCAGTCAAAGATAGAAAGTTTCATTCAAACTTAGCTATGAAATAAGCGAAAGCGCCGACCATGTCCCTTATGCAGTTCCCTCTTGCGCCAATCCCATCAGCTCCCGGTCTATCAACTATCACTATAACGAAAAAGTCCTTTGCAAGCCGTCAAAGAAGCCATTGCGCCACTGTCAAAATCGCTCTCTGCTACCGGGAGGACTGGAATTCAATCCCACTCGCTTGCAAAAGGGTTCTCTTCCTACCAAGGGCTGCTCCGCCACCCGTGAGGCCACTGGCGTGATTAATGATGCGCCGTAGAGTCGAAATAATTTGGATTCCTTGGCCATGGTCCCACCTATAGTGGGCGACGGAGTACTGAGACGTTTTGTCAGCCCCCATTCTCTACGGTTTTCTGGTCATTTCCTTCGAGTTTCTACTTACTTTGCTGTCGTTCCCCAGTTGTATAAATTCCCAGATGTTACTATCAGTTGCTATACCGTAGATATCAGTATCGTGGCGACAGGCCGCTCTCCGGGCCTGGTGTAGCATCGCTATTGTTCGTTAGAAAATAGTCTAGTAAACGATGAAGCTGAAAGTGGGTTGATCGAAATAACCCATCGCCAATGTTCAGAGCAGGAGAGGGGATAGGTGCCAACGTTAGAAAACAATATAATCTGTATACTGACCCATGTAAACGAGAGTTTGGTCCACGCCCATCACCCCCTTCCTCTTCGCCTCGCACACGACAAGATTTGCTTCCATCTGGCCAGGTTCTCCGTACCACAGTGAGTAATCGGTCCTGCCAGTTACTAGCCATCTTTGCTTGTTGGGAAAAGTCCATTCCATCTTCATGTCTTTTTCGAATTGTAGGTGCACAGATCGGACAGATTGGGTGGAGGACGAAGACATCCGATTCTGGTTTGATCTCTCCTCCCTCTTTGCTGCGGCGAGGGTGCTGAAGAGCACGGCATCGATTCGGGCCCGGGTATGCGCCTCATTAAGCGGCGCCCCTTTCGTCACAAGATCTATATCACGTAGGGTCTCTCCTGCATCAATTCAGTAAAGGCTTGGTTGAATAACGCTCTGAAAGAGGCTTACTAAGATGTTGGGGGATTGCGATGCGATCCTTCGCCGATAGAGTCCAGTTTCCACCGGTTGAGTCCACAGAGATGCCGAAGGTCTTTTCGACATCTTCGGGATTTATACTAGTAACTGCCTTATGAGGGCAGGGTGTTTGTCCTTGGTGTGACTCTGTCTTGGCTAAATCGAAATATTTGGAGAGTTCTGGATCTAGCTCGTTCTTCTGTTCACCAACAGACCGTGAGATGACGGCCTTAATTCTGGCCTCTAGACGGTTGATGATCACCTCCATTGTCGGCGCTGTATCTCGATTTCAGAAGGTGAGGCACTTTAAAAAAGTGTTGAGATTTTAGGAGGGTGATAGCGAAAGAATGAATGGATGATGTAGTTGATATTTCGTCATTATTCATAGGGGTGATTTATGACTCCGCATTAACCTCATACTTCAAACATTCATTCACTGCATCTATTCCACAACTTCACTCATTGCCGTCTCCAGCATCTACTTCACCCTGCAAATGCCCTTTATCTCTACTACCGACACACAATACAAAATGTATATGTATGATCCCAAGGATATAGGGGTGGGAAATGACATAACTGCCCTTGCACCTTATTTCAGACTTGGCCTCGATCTCACTCGGGCTCAGGATGAGGAAGCGGAGAAGCCATGGCAGATTGACCAGGACCTTACCGATGTTCAAATCCCAAAATATCTGGGTATGTGATGATCCTCCGAAAACTAAATCTAACGCCACTTCTAATTACTACTTTCAAAGAGACTCTATTGGAGGACTTCGCTCTAGGTCTCGGTACTGGAGACTGTGACGCGAGATTAATTCGGCCTCGACTGAGTGCAATCCTAATGGCGTTGTTGGCCAAGGTCATGAAGGAAACTTGCATCAGTAGAGTTGATGACGAAGATCCAGCAACTGAATCTGCGTCCAACTCTGAGCGCCCTTCAGTTGACTATTCAACACCATGCTGGATAGTTGACCAGAAACTCATTCTTCCACCTGTCACTGACTTTGTGACTGATCCTGTGGAGATTACTATGCATTTCATTCTACTGTACGGTTGCCGCCCAAATTTGGACACAAACGTCATTGTGCTTAGGAAACAGACGATCGTTCCCGATGAGGGCTGGGGAGTTCTTGCAGCTATGTGTAAGTTCATTAGTACTCCCTCGTCATTTATAGGGTTGATGGACATTGACTTCGGTCGACCAGCCGCTATTCATCGCCAGCGGAAAGAGGCAGGCGATAACGGGGACATTTACGGAATCCATACCGATACCTATACCTGGAATTTCTTCCACCTGAACGATAGCGGCAAGGTACGGATCCCAAGCACTTTTTGTTTATTGTTCTTTCTTATCTCATTTTCCTGTTTGACTGAAGCTAATGTATACAATATAGTATTCAACCAAATTGGATTTGTCCTGGTACTTGGACCAAAAGGAGGTCATCGGTCGCGTTTGCCATATAATAAGAGAAGCTGCAACTCTCTCCCGAGAAGTAGGAGGTAGGGATCCTATGCTAGGCGTCTTTGAGCCAGAGGCGGAAGACAAAAGTGATGACGAAAAGTCTGATCAATGGTCGCTCTACTAAGCGAAACGTTGGTGTGGTCCATCGGGTAGAATCTACCTTCTATCAAGGAATTCTGCTACTGTTAATTGCTATTGATCCATCCCGTCTTTTTGTTTCTATCTTTCAGTCACTGAAAACATTCAATTCTATCTAGTTTATATTCTTCTGCCCTCGAGCCTATAGCTTCCAGTAACGATCGGTACGCCAGGTTAGACTGTTCACATGGCATGTCATGATCAATCCAGCCAACAACCCAGGTCTGGATTTATCGGAAGCTAAAGACCCGTACCTCGAGTTCGATGAGAAGCTGCCAAGCTTTGTTGGCTCCCTGCGCTAATGCTGTCTGACTTTTGCTTCTGTACTGAAAGGAAGGTGATATTCTCCGAAGTGACCGTTGCATAGTGTAACGCGGCCCATCAGCTGGTGTCGTGTTATCCTTGTTTCGTCCTACTTGTTATTGTACCTGGGGTTGCATGTCTTTATTCGTGGTGGATTTCCACAGCTCTGGCACTTACGTTGCTTTTATTCCGGGTGATCGGATGTCAGCCCATTTCTGTCCTACATTTTAGTCAATAATGCTACGACTGTTCTTTTTCTCTCTTACATGCATATGCACTGAGCCCATTATGGTTCTTATTAAATGTTTTTGTTGGTAATTGCGTATTTTAGACTGAGTGCCCGAGTTTTGGAAGGACAACTTTCTAGTACGTGGATATATTTCTTTGGCCGGCAAGATCTACATAGCATGAGGGGTGTTTATAGATCCGGCGTTCCAGCAACATTCGAATGGATCGTCAAAGCGTCATCTTTTTGAAATAAGCTTGAAATAAAGACATAAATAAATTCGTTATCTGATTGAATCGTGTGAATGTATTCTTACAGCATGCATCGCATAGCCTCGTTCAGAACCCATGTCATCATTCTTAAGGTTCACACAGTATCGCACAGCCTTACCCCTTCGGATAAATGTGGATTGACATAGTGAACCGTAAGCAACACGATTGCCTATTTTGAATTTTCGATCAAATTCCACATACTCCTCCCAATAAATAGCTGATGTGAGAAAGAACAAGTGTCCATTCACCAGCAAGCCAGCCTAAGATTGCCGGGCCACCCGACCAGCCAAGGATTGCGGGAATCAGCCCGTCAGACGGGAAAAGAAAGACCGACAAAAGAACGAAATCAAAATGCATGAGATCGTTTGTAACGTGGGGGCCAGACGGTGGGCTGTGAGAACGAGGCTAGAATGTGGAGATTCAGGGCGCTAATGCATAATCAAAACTCTATTGAATTGCTGACTGCTGTAGCCTGATTTACCCATTAGGCATTCTGTCGCGGGAAAGGAATGTGTGATTCGAGGGTAGAGAAGTGTGAACGGAGGAAGCCGTGTCAGAACTGTATCACAACAAAGAAATCTTAGTGCAGGATACTATAGGCAGGTTGTGAGTGATGAGGAGGATAGTGATTGCAGTGAAGTTCTTACAGGGATGGATGGAATAGTTGGTAGGGCTTGCCTGGAGATCCCCGCCCGGATGATTTACAAGGCTCTTTAATTACTCCAACCAAACATCAGCTAAAGGAACTTTTTATAACTCCCATCAAAATTATACTGTTCCCTCTTACACTCACCCATCCACACCACTTCAGCTGTCATCCTCTAGTAACCACCACCATGTCCTGGACCAAACAAACCGACCACTGGAGCCGTCCCCTAGACTGCCATGACCGCCTCTTCCAATTCATCGGCGAGTCAGGCAAACCACTCGGTCGCGAACACTGGCTCACCATCGGCGCCATCCAGCTCGACTTCCCCAACAATAACAATAACCCCGACAAGATCATCGCACAACTCCGCAATGCCTGGAAATCCCTCCGCATGCGCTATCCCGACATCGCTGGCGAACTGCACGCCCACGAAAAGCGCTACTACCCGATCACAAGCCCTGAAGCCCTAGAATCTTGGTGCAACAATACCTTCAAAATCGAAGAATCAGCGCAATCCGCCGACGACCTCTTCACCCACAAGCTGCACATCACAGACCCGCACGCAACCGCGCACTGGATCCCCAGCAGCCAGGAATTCTGCATCGTCTCAGCCCACTGGCGCTGGGATGGCAGTGGGCTTGCCATGGTGCTAGATCAGTTCCTCTCCGAGCTGCAAGCTCCAACCATCAACACCACCACAACTTCCTCCTTCGACGGCAGCGAAGCCACCCGGCTCATCCCCTCGCTGGATGCCATCATCGGCATGCCTGCATCCCCCGAGGCCAGAAACCCCGAATGGTCTCGTCGCGCCGACGAACTCCTCGCTACCTTCCTCGAAGGCCAACCCTCCATCGGCCTCCCCGTGCTTGACCCCACAGCCTTACCGGCAAAGTCTCTCCGCACGGAGCATGTCGTTCCCGCGGACCAGGCGACCGCGCTGCGTCGCGCCTGTCGTGCGAGAAATATCACCCTCACGACAGCTATGCATGCCTCTGCGATTATTGAGACGGCGCGTGCTGCTGCTAATTCTACCAATCCATCGTCACGCTACATCTCCTGGCAAGCATTCGATCTCCGCAAATACCTGCCCCCACCCTACGACGGCCCCATCCACGGCCCGTCCCTGCGCATGGTCGGCCTCCCGCTGAATGTCGAAGCCACGCCGACAACGAACTGGTCGGACCTCGTCGAAACCATCCAGCCGCTGTACCGTCAGTCGTGGAACTTGGCTGATAGTGACATGATGTTTGTCAGGGCGCCGTTCGTGGAAAAGGCCACGGCTATGTTCCAGGCTGCGGCTGCGGCGGGCGCACCGCAACCCACGGAGCCGAATATTAATAGTTTGGGGTCTGTGGATCGGTTGATCAGGGAGAGTTATGGGGAGGTGAAGGTTAAGGGTTTGGTGCTTATGGTGCAGATGTTGGCGCAGCAGTTGTATGTGCATTGTTGGAGTTGGAGGGATGAGTTGCATTTGAGTGCGAGTTATAATGAGGCGTATTATGAAAAGGGGTTTGTGGAGGAGTGGTTGAGGGCGATGAAGGAGAATATGGTCTTGAATTTGTTGGGGGATGAGGCTAATACGAATAAGGGTGCGTTGCTTTGATGGGGATGTCTTCATTTTTCCCTTTCTATTCGTTTATTTTCGTTTATTCTTTTCGGGTTATATTTTCCATCTGGAAGTGCATTAGATGATTGAAGAATGACTGTTCTAACGATTTATAGGATCCATTGTTGGCTGAGTTGTCGACTATACAGTTGATACTACCAGGAGGTTTGTACATCTAATAATTTGGTTGGGTGGGTATTGAGGATGGCATCTGCTAAAGCTACAAATTCTCAGACAATTAATTGACTAAATGCAGGAGTTGGAAATCGTCCGGAATAAATTACGTTTCTCTCATTAATTAATTAATATATACTGAGTAGCAGTAGTGCCAGTGGGGCAATCGCCCCCTCTCTCACCTGTGGACTCTCATCCGCCTGTAAGATTGTGCAACATGGAGAATGAAGGATGAACGAAGAATTTCCGTACTTAGTTCAGAGCTGTGTGTGACTGAGGACAGAAATTCTTCTCCCGGGCGGAACTCGGTCCAACTCCAACTCATCAGCGCTAAATACCCTTCTGCAACAGGGCTGGAACCAGTACTCACATATATATCCCTACGGTCCTGGCACGCTAAAAAAAGCACCAAATTTAGCGGCATGCAACACGATTCCGACGCAATTTACAGATTTGCTTTTGCTGGAGAGGGGTTGGGGTTGGGGGCGGAAACTTATGGACCATCATTGCCCCGGAGGGTTGGATTACTATTATTGAACGAAGAAAAACACAAAGAAATATAAGGTTCAGACCAATGCTAGACCACATCAACGTCTACACTCTGCTTCACGTAGATGTGGCAGGGGCCGAGCTGGTCCATCTTGTACGACTCGCCATCCCCGCGCGTGATTTCCGTCTGCTGGGTACTCAGCAGCGGATCTTCCACCCGTCGATAGGGTGCGCTCTTACCTGCCGGAGCATTGCGCGGCGTGTTGTCGCTTCCGTAGGGATACGGTGGCGAGGGCGACTTCCCCGTAGACATCTTTCCCCGTGCCACTCGGAATAATGGGGCGTAGGTTGGCAGACATGCGCAGAGCGTGGCCACACCCAGCTGGACTGATGACCAGACCATTGTCTCGGGGGCCCGGACCACCTGCGGCGTGGCTGGAATCCACAGATAGGAGAGCTTGCAGATACTGGCAATGCAGACTCTATTCCATGCGATCAGCAACGAATTCCAACATTGTCAGAGAGAACACTCACAGTCCACCCAACAGGAATATACCGGTAACCTGAATCTTGCGCGTGCGACTGAGCTGCAGCCTCGTCACCACATACACAGGCAGAAACAAGATCATAACGTCGAGGAACAGGTTCGTGAGCTCCATCCCTAACCAGAGCCGACCACTGGCAATGCAGTATTCCGCAGCGCCCATCGCATCCCACAACATGTGAATGGGATGACACTGGAATATGTTGACGAACAGAACAATGAGGAACCAAGCAACGCAGAGCCCGGCTGTCACATAGTTCAAGATGCGGTATATCTTGGAAATCTTGAAGAGACCGTGCAGGAAGGCTAGTACCGACAATTTGACAAAGCTGATGGTCGCCATGAAGAAAAGGTCGGCAACATAGAGTGTCTAGGTCGAGAATTCAGTCAGTCTCGCGCACACATACGGACGGCACCGCGCAACACACCTTCAGAAATGACTTAGCCCATACCATACCCCCAATGTCTGCATCGGCGGCGAACTCGTTCAGGTCGAAGGTGCCTGGGCCGGGTCCCGCGACAATATCTGGGTGACCATAGGATCAGTAACCACTCTTTCCTCGCCTTGAATTATTCGAGACGTCGACATACACTGGATTAACAGAGCCGCAAACACCGCCATGCATGCCAGCGATAACAGAAGCAGGCCGTCGGATAAGGGAGACCATTGTCGAGTCATGATTCTTACCACCAACCGGAGAGCGACCGAGACCACCGCCAGCGCCAGCATCGAGATGGCGGCGCCCAGGTTGTCCCGGCCGGTTTTGCCGATGTGCTTCATCCTGACGGTGGTGTACTGGGGTGGATTGAGAAGCACGAGCAGCAGGCCGGAAAGAAATGGGAAAACGCGGCCGGGGTTGGTCCCTCGCGAGGCTGACCCGGCGTACCAATCCCGAGTATCAGTCGATCAGCAACAGTCAGAAGCGCGGTAAAAGAAGAGCGGAGGTGTAGAAGAAGGTGATGATTGATTTGAAAGACGACGGCTGGCGTCAGGGCGCTAGATCCGCGAAGCTTAGAGGAAAGGCAAAAGGAAAAGTAATATGATCGCTGGCTGTCAGCAGGGTCGCATACCCTGGAACCAGGCGAGCTGAACTATCATCACACATGGAAGGCTTATGGCCCCCATGCGATCGGAGAGTCTATTCAGCCAGGGGAGGAGGTTATTGCACGGTCGGAGGAGAGTGGCTCGGCAAGGAGGAAGGAAGGGGGTGGGGACGAGACCAAACGAAACGGCGATGAGATGAGATGTATTTGAGAAATGAACGTAATCTTGGCCCCTCACCCCAGCACAGCAGCTAGTATGGTGCATAGTAAGAGCACTCACTGTTCAGTCTTTGTCTATTTCTTCACTTCTCATCGGCCTCCCCGCATCATGTTCGTCGCAATGGCCCCGTGGGTCCCAGGCGGGAAGAAGGGAGGGCAGTTGCGGAATGGGCAAAACACTGGGTTAGGGATAGATAGACACGGTCGCCAGGCCGGATAACTGCCATAGCCTCCTCCTTAGGCACCAGCTGGGCCCCCCGACAGGGATCATCAAGGCTATCCCGGTTAAACTGGCTGTCAGCGTCCAGCATTAACCTGGTTAATCGTTGACCAACCTGGGTGTGGAGGGCGGGTCAGCCAGCGGATGGATCCTAACGGAGCATATCGCATGATGCAGTTCGCGATTCGCTTGTGGCCCTGGACCAACGTTCTTCGGTGTAGCAGCCACATTGTTTGGCTGTGGCCGTCGGCGTGGACTGGGTGAGATTTTAGGGCAGCTCTGGGCAGCGAGTGGAGCGGCCGAGAGAGAGGAGAGAAGAGGGGATGCTGCATTAGTGGCTTGTCGACTAGTGACAATCATACCCTTTCCGGTCATTCTCTGGGCAAATTCAACCATCACACCTTATTGGCATGTGTCAAACATTTGATTTTCACACACTGCATTACCGTCAAAATACCTGCTCAGACAACAGCACTGACCTTTCCGCCCCTGCACGATCAACAACCCCAGCCAAGGATGCCAGTCCTGGCGATGATCCAGCCGGCAGGAATGAGGCTCAATCCGGGTACCTGCTCCGCTGTATCTATCGTCGGCCGCGACTATACCTTGATATAGTAGGTGGTTCGTTCGAGACTATTAACTCGGCACACTTATAGGCTGTGGGGCGATGGCTGCGGATCCCGGTCGTTACTATCTTGATAGCACTCGTTTCTGACTGTTTTTGACTAGCCCTGGAAAGAACTGTACTCGCGCTTGGCGATGTGCAAATGATGGATTGTGACAGGACCGTAAAAAGGTTTCTAGCCCATGCAGCTCCATCACACTTTACTTCGTATGGCCAGATTGCGTTTGCTATCGCTTAAGGCTCCCAATCGGTCAGGCTGGCAATCGGATGAGCCATGAGTAATTTATCTCGCAACATTGATGACTGCGACGGCGAGCGGGGAGAGATCGCAGCGGGGAGCAAGGTAGATAAGAAGGGACTCCCACTTATCCTCTCGATCGAGGTTTCCTTTCTCCCAACACATTCATCAGCACTGCGCCTTCAGTAGTGCCAACGAAGTTATACAATGCAACTACTAACGACTGACGGCCTTGTCTCCCGCGGTGGAGCACTACAGAGTTCTCAGACTCTTGACGGGTCTGATCCTGTGGCCGTCGTGGGCTTCTCCTTGAGATTCCCTCAGGATGCCACCTCCCCGCAATCCTTCTGGAAAATACTCCAAGAAGGTCGATCCGTCACAACAGAAGTTCCTTCTGACCGATTTAATATAAATGGCTTCTACCACCCAGATGCGTCTCGAAATGACACAGTATGTATGATCGTCGCTGGCGAGGATACCTGGTCCTAACAGCATGACAGGTAAACGCGCGGGGTGGCCATTTCTTAAAAGAGAATGTGGCAGCCTTTGATGCACCGTTCTTTTCCATGAGCCCCGGTGAGGTCGAAAGCTTGGATCCGCAGCAACGAGGTTTGCTGGAGACAACTTACAGGGCCCTCGAGAATGGTAAGACTCTTAGAAAAACATCATGGAGTAAGATACTAACAGTGACGGCAGCTGGCATTCCCGTCGAAAGAGCAGCAGGCTCCGCCACCTCCGTCTATGTCGGGGCGTTGGGAGTTGAGTACAACCGATTCTTCGAATTTGACGAAGAGGTCCAGGCCACGTATAAGGCTACCGGTAACTCAGGAGCCATCTTAGCCAACCGGCTGAGTTGGTTCTACGATCTGCGGGGGCCGAGTATGACCATTGAAACAGCTTGCTCTAGCAGCTTGATTGGCCTGCACCTTGCCTGTCAGAGCCTTCGCTCGAAGGAGTCGCAAATGGTGAGTGCAACCCCAAAAATGCTCACGTAACACTAGCTGACAGGGAATGTGTCTAGAGTTTGGTATGCGGCTCACAGCTCTACCTCGAACCAATGACAAGCGCGATCTCGCTCTCCGCTCTGCAATTTATTTCTCCTGACAGTCGCTGCCACAGCTTTGGGGCTGATGGGAACGGTTATGCCAAGGGCGAAGGGTTCGGCGTCCTGGTACTGAAGCGCTTAAGTGATGCCATAGCTGATGGCGATGTAATTCGAGCGGTGGTCCGAGCGACTGCGACGAACCAAGATGGGCGCACTCCCGGTATCTCTCAGCCAAGTCAGGCAGCTCAGGAGATGCTGATCCGGGAGGCGTACCGTTCGGGTGGCCTGGATCTCGCATCCACCCGGTTGTTTGAGGCCCATGGCCCGGGAACGAAACTAGGTGATCCCATTGAAGCTGGTGCCATCAAATCAGTCTTTCAGAAACACCGTAGCCCGGATGACCCGATGCACATTGGTGCGGTGAAGGCCAACATCGGCCATCTAGAAGCGACAGCTGGTCTGGCGGGCTTGATCAAGACTATTCTGAGTCTGGAGAGAGGCATCATCCCCCCGATAGCTGGACTGAAAGAGGTCAACCCGCGCATTCCGGCAGATGAATGGAACCTAAAGTTCCCGACCAAGCCGCTTCCATGGCCCACAGATGGTCTCCGACGGGCATCGGTCAACGCATTTGGCTATGGAGGATCGAATGCCCACGCCGTCCTGGATGACGCATACAACTACCTGCGGGAGCATGGCCTTGAAGCACACCACGTCACTGCAAAAAGACCGCCCTCCTTGGCCTTCTTAGAGAATGGCGTGACCAACGTCACAAATAACATTACCAATGGCCACAGTAATGGCTACACCAATGGCCACGCTAATGGTCACACGAACGGTCATGCAAATGGCCATACAAACGGAGACACAAATGGCCACTCAACCAATGGCTATAACAACCACAATGGAACCGCTGCGACAGTGTCAAATGGTACGTCGCATGACGAACCGGAAGAGACCCCATACGTTTTCACCTGGTCTGCATCCGATTCCAACGGAATTGAGCGACTCGGGGCAGCATATGAAGACTACCTAACTGGAATCGACTCTCATGACGCATCGGAGGAATTCTTGCGGGATCTAGCATACACCTTATCCAACAAACGCAGTGTTCTGCCCTGGAAGTCTTTCGCGTTGGCAGGAGACCTGGAAAGTCTCAAGACGCAGGTACAAAATATGCCGAAGCCCGTGCGATCGTCGACAAGCCCGCGGATCAATTTTGTCTTCACCGGTCAAGGTGCACAGTGGGCCCGAATGGGTATTGAGCTTCTGAAATACGAGACATTCCGGCAAAGCATTCTAAAGGCGGACTCCTATTTGAAAGGACTCGGAAGCTCTTGGTCGCTGATCGAAGAGCTGCATAAGGCTGCAGATTCCTCTCAGATTGATAGCCCGGCGTTAGCACAGCCGCTATGTACCGCTCTGCAGGTAGCACTGGTGGAGCTCCTCGAGGGATGGGGTGTGGTTCCCTGGGGCGTGGTGGGTCATTCGTCGGGAGAAATTGCCGCTGCATTTTGCGCAGGAGCTATTTCCCGTGAATCAGCTTGGACAATTGCCTACTTCCGTGGAGCACTGGCTGCTCGGGTAGCAGAGTCAAAAATTGGCGAACGTGGGGCGATGATGGCTGTTGGCTTGTCCGTATCCGAACTCCAGCCTCATTTCGACGAGATCTCGGCTGTCCATGGCAAACAATGCCTGTCAATTGGCTGCATCAATAGCGCCAATAACATAACCGTGACAGGATTGGACAAGTCTATCGACGCCCTCAAGGTCCGCCTAGACGAGGAGCAGGTGTTTGCCCGCAAGCTGAGAATCCCAGTTGCCTACCACTCTTCTCACATGCAAGTGATTGCCGAAGAATATAAGAGTCTTTTGCAAGGTATTTGCCAGCCGCTTCAATCTGCTCGGAAAGGAGAAACACCCGTTTTTTTTTCATCCGTCACAGGACAACCTGCTCCAGCCAAACAGCTCTCTCTGCCCCAATACTGGGTGAAGAATCTCGTGTCGACTGTCAGGTTTTCTGAAGCTCTTAGTCAACTGTCCCAAGCCAGCCACAATGCAAGGTCTAACACGCAAGTGGATCACTACGTTGAGATTGGTCCGCACGCAGCTATGCAGAGAACGGTTATGGACAATGTGCCTCAATCTGAAGATGTCAGATATGATGCAGCGATGCGACGAGGTGTCTCCGGACTGAAATCCTTGCAGCAGCTTTCCGGGAAACTCTGGACTGAAGGTTACCCAGTCAAGATCGAAGCTGTCAATAGCCATGGGTCGAACCGACCGGCAAAGATGGTAGTTGATCTACCAGAGTACCCGTTCAATCATTCCCAGACTTACTGGCTTGAGAGTCGACTGTTCAAGAATTACAGAACGCGCGACAGTATTCGACACGAGTTAGTAGGCATTCCCACAAACGATTGGAATCCGCTCGAGCCGAAGTTCCGCTTCACCATTCGGGTATCCGACCTACCATGGCTGACAGACCATCGGGTGAGTTCCAACTAATAGCCATCTGCAAAGATCAATCTGCTAAGTGAAATTTAGTTGAATGGATCCCCGGTCTACCCTGCCGCGGGAATGGCAGTCATGGCCATCGAGGCTGCTAGGCATCTAGTTAAGCCTGGTCATGCAGTTAGAGGATACCGCCTGCGAGACGTAAGGATCTTCTCTGCCTTAGTTGTCCCTGAGACCCCTGAAGGCGTAGAAAGCCAGATCTTCCTACGTAATGCAGAGAACAGTCGGACCACTGGTGTCCAGACAGTGGAATGCAGAGAGTTCAACGTATATGTGTACTCGGACAATGAATGGCGGGAGGTCTGCGCTGGCTCTGTCGTCACGGAATACGAAGAGACGCCAGATGAGGTGTACGGAGGCGATGAGCGAAGCCTGACGAAGAACCATTACCAGACGATGTACCAACAAGCAGTCGACCGTTGCTCAGCGACGAGTACTCAGCAGGTCTTCTATGATGCTGGTCATAAGATTGGGTATGGCTTTGGCCCCCTATTCAATACTCTTCACGACCTAGCCTACGATCCGGAAGGGGACCAAGCTGTGGCCGTCGTTGAGCCTGATGAGTGGAGAGGTAAAGTTCCTGAGAAGAACTCTCAAGTCCAGCCGCATATCATTCACCCCACAGCGTTGGACGGGGTGTTCCAAGTTACGGCTGTGGCAACCACCAAAGGTGGAACGGAACTTGGCCCGTTGCAGGCACCGACTCAGTTGCGAGATTTCTGGATCTCGCAGGATCTGATTGAGCGCAAACCATCCACAAAACTGAATGTTCTGGCGCAGACCACGCTACAAGCAGCACGAGAAACCGACTCGTTCATTCTTGCCATCAACTCAGATACGGGAGAACCAGCCATTGTGATAGAGGGCTATCGGGTGACAACCGTGTCTAGCCTTAGCTATAAGCCATCAGAGAAACGCAATATCTTTTACAGGCTCGATTGGAAACCTGA